ATTTTATTTCTTTATTTGTATTTTACTTATTGATTTCTATTTTATTTGTATTTTACTTATTGATTTCTATTATATTTCTTTATTTCTATTTTATTTTAGATCCCCAGTGTAATGGGAACACCCTGAGGACAGAGGGGGTCGAGTCCATCAGATCCAGCCCATACTACAAGGTTTTTCATCTTCTGCTCTCCCCTTTCCCAAGTAAATAATTCCATGACCTTGGATTGTTTAAAAATGAATTTCTGTGGGTGCTGAATGAGCAGCTTTGGCTCCAGTCAGGATTTGTGGGATGGATCCCAGGAGGAAAAGGTAAAACACACCCAGTGGAGAAGGAACACGGAGATCCCGGGAAATGGGGGAGCAGCAGGAAAGGGGGGATTGTCCCCCTGTGCCCCTCAGGGGAGACCCCCCTGCAGAGCTGCCTCCAGCCCTGGGAGCAACATCCAAAGGACGTGGAGCTGCTGGAGCAGATCCAAAGGAGGTCATGGAGATACTCCAAGGGCTGGAGACCCTCTGGAGCCAGGCTGGGAGAGCTGGGGGGGTTCACCTGGAAAAGAGAAGGATCCAGGGAGAGCTGAGAGCCCCTTCCAGGGCCTGAAGGGGCTCCAGGAGAGCTGGAGAGGGACTGGGGACAAGGGATGGAGGGACAGGACAAAGGAATGGCTTCCCACTGCCAGAGGGCAGGGTTAGGTGGGATATTGGGAAGGAATTCCTGGCTGTGAGGGGGGGCAGGCCCTGGCACAGGTTGCCCAGAGAAGCTGTGGCTGCCCCTGGATCCCTGGAAGTGTCCAAGGCCAGGTTGGCTGGGGCTTGGAGCAACCTGGGCTGGTGGAAGGTGTCCCTGCCCATCCAGGACCTGCTTAAGGTCCCTCCCAGCCCAAACCACTCCGGGATTCTCTGGGATCAGGTCAGAGCAGCACAGGCCCTGCTCCCTGGGCAGTGTGTCCATGGGGGAGCTGAGCCATCCCTGCCCTTCCTGTGCAGCCAGGGGGGAACATTTGATCCAAAGCTCATCCAACTTCCCAAGAAACAAGCAGGCAGGGAGAGGGAGGGAGTTTTCCAGCCAGGATCAGCTGCCTCAGCTCCAGCTCTGCCTCTGCACAACCCTCTCCTGCCTTCCCTGCCCGGCGCTCTGTGACAGCGGCGGCGGAGCAGGAATGTTTTACTACCTGGTTTCTGGTCCTGACATTCCCATGGCAACCTCCTCCCCCAGAGGAGTCCCAGTTTAGAGCTGCACAAGCAGGATCTGTTCAGGAAGGAATAAAGGTGGCAGTATGGAAAAGACACTTCCCCGTGTGTTCCTGACGGGCCGTGAATGGTGACGGAAGCGCCGCCGGATCCGAGGCCATGTGGGTTTGGCAGGACACAATTCCCAAGGGCAAGGGGCTCAGTGGGGCAAGGAATGTGAAATCAAGGACACTGCAGGAGGAACATCCAAGAGCTGGGATCAGCTGGAAGAGCCAGGATGCAGCAGGGACCTGGTGTGTGGCTGTAGGACAGGAGGGACAACGGGAATGAGGTGGGAGAGGGCTGGGAGCGACCAGTGCCTTGTCCCAGCTGTACATCCCAAATCTGCTCCATCCCTGCCTGTCCTCTTCAGGAACACCGTGTCCCTCTGCCAGGACCCCTTTGGTGCCCCCAGGAGCCACTTAGGGTGAACAGAAGGGGTTGGAGCTGGGAAAAGGCTCGTTGAACGCGGCAGCTCCGTGTGGATTTTCCTTTGGTTTCTCAAGATAACAAGATCCTGCGGTGATTTGGGACTGTTGGAGGGCTGCTGCTGGATCTGGTGTGAGCAGGGGGGATTTGAGGAATTGTGGAGGTCTGGAAAAGAGGATGGAGGGGGGACAGGGGGTGGGAAGGCAAGGAGGGAGCAGGAGGAGGGAGGTGAGGACAATCCAGGGAGGAGAGGGAAGGGGAGGGAGGGACGAGCGCCTGTGGAGAGCAAAGATTCCCGTCTCCCTGCTCTGGTTTTGCTGGCAAAAGGAAGCCCCAAACCCCAAAACCTTGCTGCCATCACCCTCCTTCCAGCCCAGCTCAGCAGAGGAGCAGCACCTCCCTGTCCCTGGGAGCTGAAGGACTCTGGGAATGGGTCAGTCTGGGAAACCGGGCTCTCCAGCCCCGGATTTCCCTAATTTTGAGAGCCCGGTTTCCCAGAGAGCAGCCCCTGCTCTGCTCAGCAGCACGAGGCTGGAGGGGCTGGAAGCACAGCAGGAGCACGGACAAGGTGGATTTGGAGGGATGCAGGGCTTGGAATGTCACCTCCCACAGGTGCAGCACCATGGGCACGGTGGAGGATTCCGAGTGGCTGCGCTGGGTGACGAAGCAGTTCGGGAGCATCGCTGGGAAGGACAAGGAAATCAGCCTGGAAGAGTTCAAAAGTGCCCTGCAAGTGAAGGAGGTGAGGGGTCCCCCAGGATGGGGGATGTTATACCCTATGCAGGGTGGTCACAAAACCTGCTCCAGGGAAAGGTGTCTCTGCCCATGGCAGGGGGTTGGAACAAGGTGCCAGAGGGCAGGGTTAGGTGGGATATTGGGAAGGAATTCTTCCCTGTGAAGTTGGTGAAGGACTGGAATGAAATTCCCGGAGAAGCTGTGGCTGCCCCTGGATCCCTGGAAGTGTCCAAGGCCAGGTTGGGGCAACCTGCTGTGGTGGAAGATGTCCTTGTCTGTGAGAGGGGGTGGAACAAGATGAGCTTTACGGTCCTTCCGAGCCAGGAATTCCACAATCCCATGACTTGGGATCATCCCAGCTCCTGTTGTGCTCCCACAGTCCTTCTTTGCCGAGAGGTTCTTCGCCCTGTTCGACGCCGACGGCAGCGGCACCATCAGCCTGGAGGAGCTGCTGAGGGCCCTGAGGCTGCTCGTGCACGGGGACCAGGAGGACAAGCTCAGCTTCCTCTTCCAGGTCTACGACGTGGACGGTGAGACGAGGGAAAACACACTGAGACGTGGTTTTCTGGGATAAAGTTGGGATTTGGAAGGTGGGAGGGCTCTGCTCTGAGCAGAGCCAAGGGCTGGCGGGGGGTCTGCACTGCTGGAGCTTCGTGTCTGTCTGGGATCATCATTCCATGGTGAGAACATCAAAAATCCATCTGAAAGCCAACAATTAAATTGGCCACATGTCGGGAATTCCCATGGAGTGCTTTCACCCTCAGCCAGGGAGAGGAGTGGGCTCTGCTCTGCTCAAACACCAACTCCCCATCCCGGTTTCATGGACCTGTAGGATCATTTTGGTTGGAAAAGTCCTTTGAGATCAAGCCCAACCTCCCCCAGCACTGCCAAGGCCACCACTAACCACATCCCCAAGTGCCACATCCACAGGGCTTTTAAACCCCTCCAGGGGGTGGGGATCCCACCCCTGCCCTGGGCAGGATGTTCTACTGCCTGACCACCCTTTCCACGAAGGAATTTTCCCCAGTGTCCAACGCGACCCCCCCCAGGCAGCGGCTCCATCGAGGCAGAGGAGCTGCAGTTGGTGCTGCGCTGGTGCCTCCGGGAGAGCTCCGTGTCCCTGCCCGAGGAGCGCCTGGGGGACCTCACCAGAGCCCTCCTGGAGGCGGCTGACAGGGACCACAGCGGCTCCATCACCTTCCCGGAGCTCCGGGAGCAGCTGGAGGCCTTCCCAGAGCTCATGGAGAACCTGACCATCAGGTGGGACCCTCCAGCTGGGAGACCCTCCCCGGGGAGCACCTTTTTCCTCCTGCCTGGAGGAAAACTGGGCGATTTCTGCTCCTGTCGAGGCTCTCGGGGGGGGCAAACTGGGCAGGGCTTGGCTGGCACTGGGAGCAACTTGGGAGCCTTGGGCTTTAATGCAAGGGTGGTGTTGGGATGGGGGTTTGGATGTTGGGATGGTGTTGAGATGGTGTTGGGATGTTGGAATGGGTTTGGATGTTGGGATGGGTGCTGGGATAATGCCAAGCCAGGTGCTGGTCTTGGATTCAGGGATGGGAGAGGGGATGGTGTTGGGATGGGTTTGGGATTGTGATGGGATGGGCATGGGACTTGGACACAGGGATGAGGGCAGGGATGATACCACACTGGGTCTGGGGCTTGGGTGCAGGGATGGTGCTGGGATGGATGCAGGGACGGTACCGGGATGGATGCAGGGACGGTGCCGGGATGGATGCAGGGACGGTGCCGGGATGGATGCAGGGATGGTGCCGGGATGGATGCAGGGATGGTGCCGGGATGGATGCAGGGATGGTGCCGGGATGGATACAGGGATGGTTTTGAGATGGATGTAGGGCTGATGCCACACCGGATGCTGGGCTGGGATGCAGAGATAGGTGCTGGGGTGGTGCAGGGGTGCCCCCACGCTGGTTCCAGCCCGGGCACACGCCCGCCCCAGCTCCCCCTTCCCGGGAAGGCAGCTCCCCTCCTGTTCTCCCAGTGCCGCCAGCTGGCTGAAGCCTCCGGAGCCCCCGGAGCGGCCCCGCCCGCGCTGCCTGTCCCGGGGCTACTGGCACAACCACCGGGGCCAGCTGGGCTGCCTGGGGGGCTTCGCCGCCCTCAACCTGCTGCTCTTCACCCTGGCGGCCCTGCGGCACCGCGGGCTCGGCCCCGCGCTCATGGTGGCCCGGGGCTGCGGGCAGGGGCTAAACCTCGACTGTGCCCTCCTGGCTGTGAGTGCGGGGCACGGGGAGGGGTGGAGGACTGTGGGGGACCCGGGAGGGATGGGGGACTGTGGGGGACCCGGGAGGGATGGAGGGATTGTGGGAGTCCAGGTGGGATGTTGTCCCCAACATTTCCAGTTGCCCCCCAGCATCTCCATCTGCCCCTGGTATCTCCCAGTGCCTCCAGCCCCTCCCTTTGCCCCCTGGCATCTCCTACTACCCCCAAAATCTCCCGTTGTCCCCTGGTATCTCCCATTGCTCCCCAATATTTCCCGTTGCCTCCACCACCTCCAACTGCCCCTGGCATCTCCAATTACCCCAAATATCTCCCGTTACCCCCTGGCATCTCCAATTACCCCAAATATCTCCCATTGCCCCCAACAGCTCTAATTGCCTCCAGCACCTCCAATCATCCCCAAAATCTTCCGTTGCCCCCTGGCATCTCCAGTTACACCCAACATCTCTCATTGCCCCCAACAACTCCACTTGCCCCTGGCATCTCCCATTTCTCCCCAGCACCTCTCGTTGTCCCCCTGCTATTTCTCATTGCCCCCCAGCACCTCCTGCTGCCGCTGCCACCTCCAAATGCCCCCCACATCTCTCATCACCCCCTGGCACCTCCCGTCGCCCCCTGCTATTCCTGACTGCCTCCCACCATCTCCCATCGCCCCCACCGCCTCCAAGTGCCCCTGGCATGCCCAGTTTTCCCCTGGCACCTCCCGTTGCCCCCCTCCCCGGTATCTCCACGCGCCCCCAACACCCCTCCCTTTGTCCCCCCGTCCCGGAGGTGCCGATGCTGCGGCGGTGCCTGACCTGGCTCCGCTCCACGGCCGCGGCCGAGGCGCTGCCCCTGGACCAGCCCGTGCAGTGCCACCAGCTCGTGGGGTACGTGGTGCTGGCCCTGGGGGCCGCTCACAGCGGGGCTCACATCGCCCACCTCGGTGAGTGCCGGGGCTGTGGCGGGGGGAACTCGGCCAAGGCGGGGAATCGGGGTAGAGGGCGCGGGGAGAGGGTGCTCCTGTCCCGGGGGGATGGAGGTATCCCGGGGATACGTGTCCTGGGGGATGCCCGTATCCCAGAGGGATGCTCATATCCCAGAGGGATGCCTGTATCCCAGAGGGATGCAGATATCCCGGGGAAGGGAGCTGATGTTCGGGGGGGATGCTTGTGTCCTGGAGGGGTGTGGGTATCCCAGGGAGGGGATGCTCGTGTCCTGGGGGGAATGCTCGTGTCCCGGGGGCTGCACATGTCCCAAGAGGGGGATGCAAGCCCTAGAGAGGGGGTGCCCATGCCTAGGGGGGCTGCGAGGGTACAAGCAGGGCGCGGGCAGGGTGTGGGCAGGGCACAGGCAGGGTGTGGGCAGGAGCAGCAGCCGCGGGCGCGGCGGTGCCGCACAGTCTGTGATCCCCCTCTAGTGGTTCCCAGCCCGGCAGCCAAAGGGCTCCCCAGCGCTGCTCCCGGGTGGCGTCTGGCACCCATAGCCCCGCACCCCAAAGCCCTACACCCCCCAGGACCCCATAGCCCTGCACCCCAAAACCCTACACCCCCCCAGCATCCCATAGCCCCTGCACCCCAAAACCCTGCACCCCACAGCCTTGCAACCCCCCCCAGTCCTACACCCCTGCACCCCTCAGCCCTGCACCCCCAGCACCCTCCAGCCCCGCACTGCCCTTCACCCCAAAGCCCTGCACCCCCATCCCGTCACCGCCCAGCCCCCCCAGCCCGCGGTGGGTGCCAGGGCTGCCCATACCCCTCAAGGGAGCAGCTCTGCTCCCCCCGCCCACCCTCTCGCACGATCCCCCCCCGGCACGGGATGCCCCGGTGCCCCCGGGACACGACACCGAGCCCGGGAAGGGGGTCAGGAGAGGGGGAACGGGGCGTTCCCACGGTGTCCGGGTGAAACCAGCGTCCCTTTGTGTGTGCCCCCAGCCCGGCTGGCACAGCGGGACGGGGGCCCTGCCCTGCTCGAGTCGCTGCTGCGGGCACGGCCCGAAGGGGGCGGCGTGGGGGGCACAGCCCCCCAGACCGGGCTGGCGCTGCTGGCGCTGCTGCTCGCCATGGGCACCTTCTCCAGCCCCTGCGTCCGGCGCCGAGGCCACTTCGAGGTGGGAAAGAGGAAAATGCCGGTGGGTGGGGTGGAGGCACCAAGGGGAGGGTCCCGTGGGTGGGTGGGTGCCCATCCAGGGGCTGCCCCGTAGGGAGGGGGAGCTGGGCTGGTGCAGTGCCCCCGACACCCCCTGGACGCTCCCCACATTCGCAGGTTTGGGGTTTCTGGGCTTTTCTCCCCTAATGGGACAAGAGGGAATGTGGGACAATAGGGAATGGCTTCACACTGGCAGAGGGCAGGGTTGGGTGGGATACTGGGAAGGAATTCTCGGCAGTGAGGGTGGGGAGCCCCTGGCACAGGTTGCCCAGAGAAGCTGTGGCTGTCCCTGGATCCCTGGGAGTGTCCAAGGCCAGGTTGGAGCAACCTGGGCTAGTGGAAGGTGTCCCTGCCCAACCAGGACCTGGATAATGTTTAAGCTCCCTTCCCACATAGAACATTCCATGATCCATTTGCCTTTTCCCCCCGGGACGCCCTGGTACAGCCTCACCACCAGGCACCGTTTGGCTCCACCACGTTCCCCGTGCCCCCCTTCCCTGCCCACAGGTTTTCTACTGGACCCACCTCTCCTACATCTCCGTCTGGACCCTCCTCATCTTCCATGGTCCCCATTTCTGGAAGTGGTTCGTGGTTCCTGGCTCCCTGTTTGTGCTGGAGAAGGTTCTGGGCTGGGCCTGGCGCCGGGCGGGGGGGCTGCACATCGTGGAGGTCAATCTGCTCCCCTCCAAGGTGTGCACCCAGAACCCCAGAGCTCCTCTGGGGAGAGCAGGAATAACTGAGTAAACCAAAAGTTTCTGTGGAAAACTGGGGGTTTGGGTGCTTTAGGTTTGCAGGGAGAGGTGAAAGCAATTTCTTCATTTTCCAACTGTTGTTTATTTAACTGAGAGTTTTTGCCCATTTTTCAAGTTCAAAAATACCCAAAGTCGTGGAACAACTGGAGCCAAAATGAAAACTGCCCAGACTCTTAGTTTTGCCAAAAAACCTGTTTGAGTCTAGCCCGAACGGGGACTGTTGTTCAACACAAAATGGGCAGAGAACAGGGGAATAAACCCCCTTTTAGGTCCAACCTGGGAGCCCGTCTTGTGTCAGCCGCTGCTTGAACCAGGAGACACAGCCTGGGGGTTCAGCTGCAGAAGGGGAGACCAGGCAGTGTCCTCTGGATGCTCCAGCTTTCCTGCTCCCCTCCTCCTCCAGGTGACTCACCTGGTGATCCAGAGACCTCCGTCCTTCCACTTCAAACCCGGGGACTACGTGTACCTGAACGTGCCGGCCATCGCCTCCTATGAGTGGCACCCCTTCTCCATCAGCAGCGCCCCTGAGCAGCCAGGTGGGAGGAGCCTTCCCAATTTCCCATCCCTGGGATGATTTGCATCATTAGAATGATGTTTTGCATCCCTTGGCTGATGTTTTGCATCACCAGGGCGATGTTTTGCCAGTTTGGATTAACCTGGTCCCGTGGGAGGTGTCCCTGCCCGTGGCAGCGGGTGGCGCTGGATGGGCTTTAAGGTCCCTTCCAACCCAAAGCATTCCAAGATTTTGAGCACCCTCTTCTCTGTTTGATCCCACAGAGACTCTCTGGCTGCACATCAGGTCTCTGGGCCAGTGGACCAACAGGCTGTACGAGTACTTCCAGCAGCTGCAATCGCCCAGCCCGGAGCCAAAACCGCCCGGGAGGAGCCGGAGCTGGGCACAGGTGGGTGGGACTGGGATCAGCTCTGGGCAAACCCAGCAAAGCAGCACAGACAGGTGGATGTGGAGTGGATCCCTTGGCTCCTGGGTTATCCCTCGGGATGCACATTCCCTGCATTTTGTGTCCCACCGCCCTGCTGACCCTGCTGGAGGGACACACCCCCCGGGAGCATCCCAGTAGTGATTCCTGCCCTTTGTTTTCCAGGAAGGCTCGGTGGCCTCTGGCAGGGATGGATCCATCCGGCTGACAGCGTTCAGAGCCACTGACCCAGGACAGGACCCGGAGAGGGGGGTGAGCACCGAGCCCGGCCTGGGGCAGGGAGGGGGCTCTGCCCCATTCACAGCCAGGAGTGACCTGGAGAAACCAGCCCAGAGCTTCTTTAAGGGATTCTTCAAATGGAACCCCTCAGGTGTGCCCAGGGCCCTGCCAGGACACTGAGAGCCACCATTGGTGGCTTTATCAGGATATTGATCCCTCCAGGCTGGAGGAGCAGCCACAGAGAGGGTTAGATTGGATACGGGATATCAGGAAGGAATTCCTGGCTGGGAGGGTGGGGAGCTCCTGGCACAGGTTGCCCAGAAAAGCTGTGGCTGCTCCATCCCTGGAAGTGTTCAAGGCCAGGTTGGAGCAACCTGGGCTAGTGGAAGGTGTCCCTGCCCATGGCAGGGGGTGGAATGAGATGGACTTTAATGTCCTTTCCAGCCCAAAGCATTCCATGATTCCATGATAACAGATCTGCTCCTGTCTGTCCCTGGATGAGCAGAGGTGCCTCATGGCTGCTCCTGCTGCCTAAGCCAGCACAGTCACTGCAAACCCCTCATTCCCCCCCAGCTCATGTGGGAATTGGGATAATTCCCTTTTTAATCAAGATCAAACCCATCCGATCCAGACAACTGGTGACAGATCCCTGGGGGTGGATGTTCTGGGACATCCCCCAGGAGCACAGGCTTGGCCCTGGCTCTGACTGAGGGATGGGGCTGGAAGTGTGTGTGCAGCTGGATAACCCAAGTGGGAAATCCCCCTGATCCCGGGAACAGGCAGGGTCAGGAGGGGCTGGACAGGGAGGGGATGTCCCTGCTCGCTGTAGGGAGGGGCTGGCACTGCTCTCTGCACCTCACAGGGCTCCACCGGGCCGGGGGAGACCCGGCGGCTCTGCAGCGTCAAGGTGAGGGGCTGGGACCTTCCCTGGGCTCAGCATTCCTGGGGGGACCCACCTGTGGGCCTGACCACCCCATCCATGCTCCTGACCGCCCCATCCCTGTTCCTGACCGCCCCATCCCTGTGCCTGACCGCCCCATCCCTGTGCCTGA